AGTCACTTATAGGAAAGGGGTCAGAGATCCATCAAATGATGAATGTAATTGATGGAGTGGATGGGAATCAATTGTTTGTTGCCTCCTCAAGTGTTTAGAGTCAGCAGTTGTGAAATAAAGCTAATCAGGTACACATTAATAATCAACAAAAGGAGACAGTTCTTCACCTGACAAGGTGTGGAAATCCTTGTTCCTGGATGATCTACATGTTAAAATTATGCATGAGTTAAAAGGGAGTCTGGACAAATTCACATATAGGAAATTAGTTGTTGGTGACTAAGAGTGCAGAACTGACATTCAGCCCAGGGAACTCCCTATCAAAATATAAAGTCCTGGGGAAATAAGATCTTTACTTGGCCTCTGGTCCATACTAAGAGCCCACTTTCAGTTAAAAGATACAGGACTAGAAGTGGTATTGGTTTGATCCACAGAGGCTGCTTTTATCTTCATATATTCTATATTTTTATTCTGACTTAAGTCTTTTAATGGATTTTATCTAGGTGAAAATCCTTTACTTAAGTGCACGTGCTCAGGCACATGATGGGATTCTGGGGCTTGTTTTGGGCAGGGCCAGGAGAGGGACTCAGAGATCCTCAGGGGTTCCTTCCACATCAGGATATTCTGGGATTCTGTGATTATATGCACTTCCCTTCTTGACTAGGTTGTTGGATTCTTTGAGGTTTTTTTGCAGGGAGGTGAGATCAAAGTAAGCATCTCCTGATGTTTGAGCTTTTTAAATTACTATGTTAAGTATATCACTTTGCTTGTTTAATAGTGTAGATGACATCTTAGGACTTACTGTCTGCATGATAGTTAGAGTTCACCTGGTCTAGTTAGTGCTGTTGGAACAACTTCCTGAAACAATAATATAGAACTTCAGGGCAGTAACATATGTAGACCTCTCAATGGCTGAGCTAAGGAAATTTTTAATTTATCTAAGTAGGTTTTTTTTAGATTCATCATGAGGCTATTCAGACTCATTTTAGCTATGATTTTGATATCTTTCTGTTTCACTTTTCATTACCATCATATGAATAAGATTTTAAATCCACTCTGCAACCATTTCCCTTAGACTATATTCTTTACAGAAAAAGCAGCGGTGCTGGGAATAGGGAGGGGTTTTTGAATTCTCATTTCAGCTTTGTGACTGATTCACATGACTTTGAACAAATCATGTAAGTATCTGTGCTGTCTCTAAGTTGAAGATAACAGCAGCCTTACAGGAATGCTTTTAAAGTAAACTACGTAAAATTCTATGAAGATTTAAATTGTGATTTACTAGTATTTTTGAAATAATGCTTTAGGGATGGAAAAGTATGCTAATGAGCCTTGGGTGCATAGAACTAGCTATGTTTTGTGGCTTTGCTCAAAATGATCTCTCATATGAATCAGAATGTGTGGGATGCAAGTGAAGTCTATGTGTAGATGGGGTTTATTCGTTCTCTGTATTTCTCATGGTGCTTCATGAGGAGCAAATATCTGCCCTCACCGAGTTCAGTGAGAAAGCCTGTTCTAGGACTTCTGCAGAACACAGCAGGGCTAACATTGTTTATTTTATACACATAACAGTTGTATCTGGAAGTCTACCAAGGACTGTCAGGCCCCCTCTAACCTACCCGATAGGTGATGCTGTGCTGTAGCCTGGGGTGCAGTCCTCTAAATGTGACTGTGAGAATGCTCTGTGTTACTTCTCTGCAGGAAGTGCAGTGCATCCAGAAGGAAGGTGTTCTGTGCCCAGGTATTGTTCAGACAGACACTTGAGATGTTGCCAAACTGTGCAGTGAAATCTGGGATCTGAGAAGCTCTGTATTTTTACAGGTCAGACATGGACTGAAAAGATACAAATAGCAGATGATCCAAACAGTCCCTGCCCTAAAGAGCTTCGGAGTGTTGCAAGCAGAAAACAGGGAATAGCTCTGAGATAGGCAAAAGCTACTTCCTTTTATTACATGATTCTCACAGACTTTTTTCCTTAGAGATATTTTCTTAAACTCTAAGAACTTGTGTAGTAAAATGTGGGTTTTTTCACTTTCTAGTAATGAAGTCACACATATTTATAGCATTAACATGTAAGAATCCCAAGTAGCAATTACTAATTAGAAAGAGGGGGAAGATATTCCTCATTTTACTGAGGAAATGGAGCCATGATGAATTAAAGAGACTTCCCCTGACTCATGAGAAACTTAATGTGGAGCTAGAAATTGAGCCCAGACTTCCTGAAATTCAGTTCACTATTTCAGTCATATGACCATCCTTTTCCAAGTATCAAATATATACACAAGGCTCTCCAGTTTAGTCTTCGCATTAGTTTCCAATGAAACTTTGCCCTTTCACTCATTTTAGCAAAAAGACAAACATTTGCCTATTTGTCTCAATAGTAAGTAGAAATTGCTCTCTATACAGATGACAATTTCCTCTCCATTCACATGCTTCTCATCCTAGTATTAAAGGCCAGCCTGTGTCAGCAAGGGCCCGTTTAAATTAGAAACCAAATAATATTTCAGGGATGCCTTGGGCTGTCTTGTGGAGAGGGTTCTTTGCAACCCTTGCCAGTTACTACTTGGTGGTCCTGCCAATCCTTGCTAAGTTTCAAAACAGAAGTTGCTCAAGCTGGAGCAGCGCTGCTTGCCCAGCATACGCAGCTGGACAGCTGGAGAGCCAGGACTGAGCGAGGCCCGGCGCTCAACCAGGCTCAGCTCACCAGACCTTGTAAAGGGACAGGGGAGTGGCACTGTCCTAATTGCTAACATTCCTCCTCTGCAAGACTTCTGATACTTATTTAATAAGCCTAGGCTCATAAAGTCTAAACAATTTAGGCAATCAAGTGGTAGCTGATGTGTATGTGAAGATAGAGATGCAGCCAGACTAAGTGAAGAGTGCAGTGCCTAATTTCTGACTTGGCCAATCTTTATCTGGCAGTTGCAGATGAAGTAACACGTCAGGCAGCTGTGCCCAAGAATGGAATTTGTGTTGTGATTACCTCAGGAGCTGTACTTCAGGCCGGGTTTGCACAGCCACAGCTCCCACTTGAGTGCACATGGCCCATCTGCCAGCGAGGTCCTCTCATCCAGTAATACTCATAAGCTCCAGTCTGAAGGCTCCTGCCAGTAGCAACAAAAATTAAGGATGTGGTATTGCTGTGTTCTCAGAGGGACAAAAGGCAGGTTCAGCAGAACTGGCTGAAACATGCAGGCTTTCCCACGTCACAGCAAGAGTTGTTTGTAAATAGGCACACCTTCAAATGTAGAAAGGAGTGAGCATCTAGAGACTGCTGTGTGTGATGGTTTGTTATTTTCTGTGGAGCTGTTGCTGAGTATTTTAGCATTAAATAGGGAAAAAAGCATCATGACATTCATTAGCATTTCATTTACAATTATTTTCAGCTCTTAGTGGAGCAGGGAGATACTGTAACTAGATGTTAAACTTTCATTGATGGGATGAAGAGATCTAATGTTCAAACTGGAAGTGGGACTTGAGTGGACATGGGACAGGGAGGAAAAATGTATTTTCATGAACCTGGGAAATGGTTTTTGTTAAAAAGAAAGAACACCAAAATGCATGAAGTTTCCACAGTTTGTCAAGAAAAAGGTAAGAAACATTACTTCAGCTCATCTTTAAAATACACAAAGGAAAGGCAGTGCCAAAAGGAGAGTATTTTTACTGATTGTACTTTCAGTGTTCTCTCACTAATGGTCTTTTTTCTAGTAAGAAGTCATTTACCATGTCTGATTCAAAGAGATCCACTGTGCATAGTTTTAGAATAACTTTGTTAATGTTTTTTGATAACTTCTACTTATCAGCTTAAGGCTTATTGGCCATAACTGCATTGTGAGCTGAGTAAATGGCTGTTAGTGCATTTGCAAACAGTTCAGCCTGATTCCATTCATGTAAGCACCAATTTTACAGCTGTGTCAGTGGGGCCATTACAGGACTCGAGCAAGCAAGCAGGCAGGCACCCTGCACATACCTCTCTCAGCATCGTGATTTACTGCCTCTATCTGCTGCCTTTTACAGCTGTGTGCTGGCTAGTGTCCCTGTCTTGCTGCTTAGCTTGTTTCAGTCCTGCAATGCTACATCCTTACTGTGGAATCCGAATCTGACTTTGCCACTGGACTGGAAAACGCCTGTGGCTTTTCTAAAGTTCTTTTCCCATCTTTCCCTGTGGTTACCTTGTGCTTAGAAAAACAAGCTGGTAGGGTCATACTAGGTGGACACAAATACTTTTCTTTTGCCCCACTTATTTTTGACTAGTCTGTGTTCTTTGACCATTTTCCAAGCTTTCTCTTGTGTTTTGTTTTGACTTGGCCTGATAGCTGAAAGCTTTACTGTTAATTATTATTTTTGACAGTTACGACATTGATTTTCCACCCTCCCATAGTATCCTCTGACCTGCAGGTATTAGAATGTACAAAGATATGCCTAAAATGTCACAAAGGAATGCACATCACATATAGTTACAAATTAGTTCAGATAAACAGAGTACAGTATCTCAAGGAGACATGTCAAGCATCACTGACTTGAATACCTGCAGTGAGAAACAGTTTTGGAGTAATTTCTGGTTATGGAGTCAGTACATTAAAACAATATGGAATAATAACTTGCAATTTTTTGCTAAGCTGAAATTCACATGTAGATGGATTCATCTAATTAAATCAACAAAACATTGGCTATTGGGATGGAAGGATTTGAAGTGCACAAGCAAGGTGGGAGGAGGACAGCTACAAGAGTTATCTGTCTAAACAAGGATACTCTGAAAAGCATTTGGCTATGGTGGGTCCTCTGGAGGCTGAGTAGTTGGTTCTTTTTTGTTTCAGAACAAAAGGCAAAAGGGGCCACATGGTATCCTAGCTGACAGCAGCTTATGCTATTTGATGTGTAAGAGATAATAGTTCCAGAACTCTGACATTGTTTCCTTTGTTTTCTCACTAATTAATATGTAAACAAAATAAAAGTACCATCCTTAACTGTGGCTGAAGATTCACATATTAATATTTTTTCAGGTGGAACTCGCAGAAATTTGCACAAAGAGTGAACGTTACATTGGCACAGAAGGTGGAGGAATGGATCAGTCAATCTCTTTTCTGGCAGAAGAAGGAACTGTATGTGTACCTCTGTAATCTAAACTAACAGTGTAATACTAATTTATGCAAGCAAAGAAACCTTCATTGGTGTCTAGAAGAAAGACAAGACAAGAAACTGGAATACCTTAGTAAGCAGTATAAGCACCATTGGTATACAAATGAATCAGGAATTAAATTTACAAACTTGGGTACAATTGAGCGTGACAAGTTTGAATGAATATGATGAGGAAAATCAGAAATGGCAAGGAGGAAGGAAAATATGTGGGAAAAGAAGAAGAGCACCAGGTTCCACTATTTGGCTAATTCATGCTGAAGTTAGAATGTTTCCCATATAATGAAATCTGAATGGTCGGCATGCCTTGTATTCAGTGCAAATGGGATAATTATTACAAAAATGCTTTCTTGAAACTTCTTATAACCAAACAGTTCTAGGAAGTTTTGCCAGGTTCAGTTACAAAGACAATAGAGACTTCTTTTTCACCAGTTTTGCTAATTCCAGACAATTCTGTGGCTGGATTTTGATGTAGAAGACATTTAGCAGTCTTAAACGTGGTGACAGAAGGTGAACTAGCTGTGATAAACGGGACCTGCCAAGTTATGCATGAGTGCTTGCAGTGGAATTTACAGGGAGGTTCATCTGCTGTCCCAGAAGGTGCACAGGACTGCAACTGTTCAAACCTCAGGCCTGTCAAAATAATTTTATTGGAATTAATGTAGTGTTTCATAACAACCTTTCCTTATGATTGTGGCATTTTATCTCTACAGCTTTTGTTCCTTAGTGACATGTCTTGGATGAGCTTACACAGACAAAAACCTATTTCCTAGAATTACACCGAACATTTAATGCCATCATGAGACACATGTATTTTCAATTTCACATCACCTGTACCTTCATGTTTATGCTGTTAGTAGTAAAAGCACAGCTACATGAATAATGAAAGAAGGAAGCAGCATATTTTCCTGCCATACACAGAGATGATTATGTAAGTGGAAGCTTTTCTGATCTATAGTAGTGACAACCAAAAAGACAAAGAAAATGCTGGATGAGAAAAGAAATTGTCAACAAACCAGAAAACATTCTTGCTTCAGTGTACTTGCAGCTGAATGCAGCTCTAGCCTCTCATCTTAAAACACCAAGAAAAGTACAGTAAAAGGACACTGAGGTTTATCAAAGCTAGTTGTTTTTTAATATGAGCATTGACTGAATAATTTCAAAGTTTTCAGCTTGGAAAACAAAAAGTTTTGAGTGTGATACTTTGAAACTTGTAAATGCCCTAAACAAGTAAAGAGAAGGTAAGTAGAGGATTCAATGTTTTTCATAACTGAAGAACTAATAGAAACACAATGACATTAGCAAGCAGCTTGTAAAAAACAAACAAGGAAGTTTGGGGTTTTTTCCAAAACATTCATTGTTAAATTGAGAAATACCATACATTGTGGAAGGCAGACTTTTTAAAAGGATTCAAAAAAGACCTTTGTGGATACACTAATGGAGTGTTAAACTATATGTAGCTATTTAACATAACAGTCAGATGCTTCTTCCAGTGTAAGTATAACCATTGTAATCTTTGCTTATGGGAATTTGGAAAAACATACCCCAGGAAAAGATTGCTTTGTGTATGTTCTATTTTTATATTCCCCCTTAATAGCCATTTATGGCTACTGTCAGAATCAGGACACTAGACCAGCTTAGTGGTACATTCTGGTCTAATGTAGCAGATCTTAAAGGGTATATTGAAATGTAAGCAAGTCTCTCTGTCTTGATAGTAATTCTGTGATGGGGTCCAGAATCTCAATGGCAGGGAGTGACACACATGCTGTACATAATGTACAAGCAGATTTGTCATTGTTTATTTAGCACTCTAGCTGCTCAAGGGACTCTCTGAGGGTGAACAATGCCAAAACCAGTAAGATGTCCCTGCTTGCACAGTTACAGTCTATTCTAAAAAGCCGAAGCAGGGCACATGATTTACAACTTATCCCAGTGAAAAACCAGATGTGAATTTAATCTCTTGATTACATTACATCCTGAATTATTTAATTAATGGATGCCTAACTTATTCCATGAAAAGGTCACAAATGCTAGGAACATCTTATGCAGCTTGTGTGAGCATGTGTGAGGCAAGGCAGTCTGTTATGTCAGAAAGGAAGAAACAGTAACTACATTCTTACACGTAATTTTCTTTAGTTTCTTGGTTTGATTGTCTGGGTGTGTACCATGATCACTGCCTCAAATCAGTCCTAAACTGTTGGTAAAAAACTGTACCTCAGTGAACTAATCTCACTGTAATGTAAAATCAGAAGACTGAGGGGGAGATGGACATTGATGAAGGGGCAGGGAATGCAAAGCCCCTTGTTTCTAGTGGCATGCACATTAGCTTCAGCCAGGCCTGGTACTTCTCTGCAGATCAAAGTGAAACTGTTGTCTTAAACAGGCAAGAAAAATAGGTTGGGTGGGGTTCTGTAAAATGCTGAAAAAACCCAAAGACTTAATGGAAACATTTTAAAATCCAGCTACAGGGAAAGGTTTGAAATGTATGTGTAACTTGACCAATGAGGTTAAACCTCCTTTCTTGCTGTTTCATGTCAGTTTTCTTTCCTTAACTGTCCCTGGATTTTCAAGAGAAAAAACATGCAAATTTGCATTTGATTTATAGAACTAAGTGCACTGTTAGCTAGCAGTAAATTAAAACTAACCATTCATTTTTCTTTCAATAGGCCAAGTTGATAGAGTTCAGTCCACTGAGGGCAACTGATGTTAGACTTCCAAGTGGAGCAACGTTTGTTATTGCTAACAGTTGTGTTGAAATGAATAAAGCAGCAACTTCTCATTACAATATTAGGGTAATGGAGTGTCGGCTGGCTACAAAGGTAATGCATGGCTTATGTCAAACTCTAATGAAACCTTCATCTAAATATGTGCTTTTTTCCACTTCTGACCAGTTGTGTCTTTAACACCTGGCTAGGTGCTACTCTTGGTATAATTTTTCTTTCCAGAACCAGACACTTCCATCTGCAGGAACAGAACTCCTGCTGAGCTTAATGGAAGTGCAAGGACTTCCTTATATAGAAGATTATGTGATTTACTTCTATTAAATTTATTTATTATTATATTTCAGTGGAGGAAATAAGTGTATTTTTCAGAAAAAATATTCCCAGTTAATAAGATAGACTGTTTCTAATTAAAGCTGAATAATGACAAATAATGGAAAGCAACCAGTCTGGTCACATGTTTATATGTATATATGGCAATAGATGTGTATTTTCTAGGATTTAGAGAACATCTAAGCTAGTAGCTGAAGGCCTGGAAATAATATTAGAAATGCTGAATAGAAGCATGTATGTCAGTGTAAAGTTTAAAAACAGGCTTGAATTAAACTCCAACATTTAGGGTGTACTGCTGGTTTACAGCTTCAAATTATCTCTACAATGTATGGAAATTGAACAGGGGAAATCTTAGTTCTGCTTTAATTCTGGATTTTGTATGTTCAGGGGTATGTAGATGTAGAGTTTGATTTGAAATTTTATGGGAAGAAGTACATTTTTCTTTGATAAGAGTAAATGAGGAGTAAGCAGTGAATAAAGATTGACTGCAGTCAATCCCCCAGCACAGGAGGCTGTGGGAAAGAAAGGAATGTGGGTCACAAAGTCTAGAAGAAAGCTTTGAAAAATGCAGCATGGAACTCCTTGCCACAGAACGTTAGACTAATATCTTATCAATATTCAAAAGTACTTTGAACATCTGTTGGCATCATGATTCCATAAAAAAGCAATTTCTTACAAGTTTTAGTTAGTGCTAAACAAATAGTTGAAGATCTGATCAGACACTGACAAAATGTATTACAAAATAATGTGCTGAGTTAGTTTTTGAGGAGGGAAGCTAAACTTCAGATGACTTTTTAAATGGGCATTAAACTCAAGTATAAAAGGAGTAGTTGCATTTCAGTTGTATCTAAGACATGGTAAAACGATGACCACAGTTAAAGCTGTTGTCACTGAAGTTAATAAGATTTTTAAGCCATTAAGAAAACAAAGATAAGGACCTATCTGTTATAACGGATAAATCTCTAATTTGGAATTGCTAATTGACAAAATACATGTTTTTAAGAAGAGCTTCTTTTGTAAATTCTTTTTTTTTTTTTGCATAAGGAATAGAGAGCCTTTACAGATAATCTATTCTAAAAGGCACTGTACAACGTGTGCATTAAACTGTGAGAGCTTTTGAAGTTATTGTTCCATATACCAGACTTTGTGAATTGAATCACAGTTTTCTAAATTGCTTTAAATTATTAGTCCTGTACAGTAAACTGAAGAAGTAGTAAGGAAACGTAAACATCTTTTCTTTCAAATTCCTTTTAGCTGTGATGCAATCTCTAAAAATGTACTTTTAACAGATGCTTGATTATAAGGAGACTAACAACATACACCTGTCTGTTTTTAAACATATGCTACCCAGATGGAAAGCTGCACACACTATAAAAATACATTGAGCCAGGAAAAGACTGTCTTTAGGAAAAGGTCACAGTGGGGTGAAGGAGGGCAGGTATGTAAGTGGAAACAGGGAAGTCTTTTAAGCACCATTAAGCTAATAGAACTATGAACTAACATGCTGGGCCTTGCAATAATGCTTTAAAAGAAATTCTCATTTTAAGTGCCTCAGGATAGGCTTTATTTCCCCTTTTCTGCTTTAGGTAATTCTAGAATTTCATACTGCTTTACTGTGTAGGTAAAGATGCCAACACAACTCATCCGTGTTAGCATTAGTGTAGAACATCTTGGTATCAGTCTGTCCTACAGCGAGTTCTTGATCATCCTGGCAAATTATCTTTCTTAGATTCTGTTTCTTTCCCTTCCCCCTAGAGAATCATTCTTTTGCCTTTTTCTTTCCCTTTCCCTATTCCTGTAGTGGGGTCTGAGTGCTCTCCTGCACTCTGCTCAGTGAGTTTGAAGTTCAAAGACGTTTCCGTTGTGCAGAGCGCTCGCAGTTCCGCAGGAATCTGACGTGTCCCTCCTCGTTCTCAGCTCTGTCCCTCCTCGTTCTCAGCTCTCCCGCTGGGAAGAACAGGGCTGGGGACACCAGCAGGGCTGGGGACACCATGCTCTCCCTGCTTCACCGTCAGTGTGGGGTGGGGCCAGCAGTGTCTGCAGCTGCAGAGCCACCAGCAGCTCCTGGGCACCGATGGCATTATAGAAATGTTATGTGTAAGGAAGTGGTGTTGCTATAAAAGTATTCCTGGACTTAGTCCTAGTCAGACTTTCTTGTATTTATGTTTGTCCTATCATTTACCAAGTATGTTTTCCTCTCAGTTACTTACAGTTCTCCAGTGTGCTGTGTTGAACAATAAAGAACAGAGATTCTATATCCTGGCAGTTAAGAGCCAGCTGCTTGATGTCCCTATCTTTAATCCATCTAGTCAAAGATCATCCAGAAAATATCCAACTGTGGGACAAGTATTGGGATTAGTTTTTGTGCATTAAAGAGATGGATTTTTTTTCCACTTCTCTTCCATATCCATTACAATTCAAGCTGCTGCAGCTAGACTGTTTTCAAAATCCATTTCTGTTTGCCCCTAATATTTATCCCAGTGCTGTTAGAATCAAAACTTTGCTATAAGCAGGATAGACCTTTCCAACTAAGCTGTGCCCACTGCCCCAACGGGGTCAGTTTTCATTTGGAACATTTGACCTCTAAAACCCCAGTGTAGTTGGATTGTCTGAAATACAGCATCTCCCTTGAAGTACAGAAATGGGAACAGATGTGACAATGCATGTGGCATATTTCTGCAGGGGATTATTTATTCAAAAAGTAAGTAGAAAAAATTTGTTGCCATATAGAATATTATTGTTTGCAGATTCTCTTTAACTTCTCATAGTAAAGTCTGGAGGATGCTGAATTTTGGGATAAAACCATGAGGAAAATAACTTCCATTTATTTAGCATCTTGAAGAAGATCTATATGCACCCACGTAAAACATATTTAAGTAAAATGAAGCAGTAATTTTTATTCTAACTTATCAGTAAGTAAGCTAAAATACAAATTATGTATAGGCTGTAGAGTTCTAGTTACTCAGAGCCTTTGAAAAGGAGGCCAGAAGTCACTTAACCAGTGTTTTACAGAAAAAATTCTCTCACGCTGATTTCTGCATTAGGCACTAAACAGTTCTGCTTCTTTCTCTACCATTGAACATATAAAATTGTGTTTTAAATGGCAACAAAGTTATATGACTAGGATTTTGTTTGTTTTGCTCTGCTGAGCCTCACATAAATCTCAGCAAGTCACTAGATGGCACCAAAAGTAGTTAATTTTTAGATACTGCAATAAAGCAAAACGGGAAGAGCCCCTGGAAAAAAAGCACTGTTAGGGGAAAGTGAGATTTTACACCTAGATAGCTGGGCAGCAGATCTGCTTAAATTTCATGCTGTAACTTTGCACAAAATAAAGCAAATACTTTTCAGACGTGTATGTAAATCCAATGACTTTATTTAACCCAGAAAATTAAATGGCTTAGCTGAATCAAGACAAATGATTTCAAACCAATCTCAGTCCAAACCAATGCTTATTGAAAAGAATAAAACACACTGGGTGAAATCTTTGCCTTGCTAATAAAAGGTTTGAAGACTGATTTGTATAGAGAAAGATTTAATTCCGTGGTCTTTCTGTACTGGTTTAAACTCTTTCCAGACATACAGCTTGATCTAGAAGTTTTAAACTCAGTTTAAATGGTGCAGCACTTGAGATACACCACATGCTTATGAACACAGTAAAATGACATTGGTATGTACCTGCTAATCTTTGTTTTACTTTGTAATCTCTTGAAATTACAGGTGGTATGTCAATGACCACTGACTATTCTTCTAGAATTCATAACACCTAAATATTTCACCTTATGAGGAAAGCTGCTTTACCACTTTCATTAGACACATGGGAGCATCAACACATTTCAGCCTTCCAGAGAAAAGCCTGTTGGAGATTCTGCCTTTCAGGATTCTGGTGTGTTGAAGTAATGACTGTCAACTGCCAAAACATCACAGAGATACACAAAGCATGGTATCATTGCTGTGGGGAGTGGGGAAAGCAGATCCATCAATAACTAATGAATATCACAGCAACCATGTAGGAATGGAACAGATTCAAACCAACATTGTACCATTCCTGGAAAGGCTCAGAAGTTCCTATAAATTGGATGTTAAAGAAGGTACTTAAATTTTACTTAAAACTCCAGAGATTGAGAAAGCTTATTGTTATTCTCCCCACAAATCTTATGACCACTTTCATGTTTTTAAGGCTAGTACGAGAAAAGGTGGTAATGACAGCCTCAAATGTTCATCAGAAAATTCCAGGAGCATGTTGGAAATGTCAAACTGATATGTTAGAGCAAATACTAATAGAATGGAAATAGACTTTTTAAGGACTTTTAGTGTTACAACATCATAGCACTTATATAAACAGTTGTCCAGATGGGATTGTAAAAGGTTAGTAAGTGCTTGAAGTAACATAGTCCATGGAAGAGGATAAATCACTGATCTGGTATCACATAAATAATGCCAGTAGGGCTTTTACAGACAGTATCTGATTTGAGGAAAGAGTATCTGTCATTCACAGACCTTTAATAAGAAATATAGGCATTCACTGCTCTGTACTGATAGAAAGTAGGTCCTGATGGTTCTCAATTAAGAAGTGAAAAGAGAAAATGGGCCTTAAAGATACTTACAGACAACTAATAGTTTTAAACAGGAAAGCACAATATTTTCTGTTTTCTTTTTTTTTTTAATTTTAGCTTCTCTCGAAGTCAAAAGGCTTGGAGTGGAGAAAAATGTTGAGACTCCATGATGTGCAAACCAAGCTAGGAGTTAGCCTAGAGGAAATGCTGACCATTGTCGAGGAGGTATTACATCCTGAGCCTTACAGCACAGAGGAAATTTGTAAATGCCTGGGAATTAGCCTGGAGGAGCTCCACTCTCAGATCCTTAGTCAAAACATGCAAGATGGTGAGCATATATGAAATGGTGGGGTTTACTGTACAATGTTTGTATTATATAAAAATGTTATGCATTAATAAGTAGTGCAAGTGGAATTCTTGCCAGAATACTTGGCTGGAATCTTGGTTGGGAAGTGAAAGAATTGATACCATCATCAATGGATATTTTCATTCTAACTTTTAACTTAAAATAGAGCAAACTCTGATTTTGATTGAACTGTTTCTAAAATGATGGAAATAGCAGATAGCCAAACTGGTGCTCAAGACCAGCATAGATGGGCTTGTGCTTCTGTTCTTAATTGCTAAGTACATTGTCACTTCCTAAAACAGGCACTGGGCAGCAAGTCATCTTGATGTCTCCTGAGAAAGTTTCTGTCACTATTACCATTTCTTTTTCTTTAGGAAGATGTTGGTGGAGATGAACAATTTACTATCTAAAGTATTTCCCATGTATTATTGTTTAGGATTATACCACGCAGTCATGAGCATTGTCATACATGAAATGTATCCTAAATGTATATAGTAGGGTTCCTAATAATACCAAATAATAGAGAATTTATGAAAAAATTCATTTGCTTTCATAACAGGTTTCCAATTGAGATCAGAATCTTTCTGTAAGAACTACATAGAATCCTTCTTCCTTGTTTCTATTCTGTAACATTAATACCTGTATTCTTTTGGAGCCAAGTTACATCCTTGTCAGTCCTTCCCAAGACTGCTTTCAGGAATGTGTATATTAGATGTACATAGATATGTAACACAGCTGTCTATACTGACACTTACTTAAATAATCCGTTCATCTGGAGTGATTGTAAATTTTATGTATTGACCAAGGACCAGGTCCTGAATCTTTAACCTGTTTTGTACCCCAGTGGTATCAGACAGTGTAAGATAATCTTACTGTCTAATTACACTGCCAGAAGATACCAGGCTGGAATAAGATATCTTAAGCCAGCTCTTTATCTCCACAGAAAGAGTTTTGATAACTTTGTACTGTCTGTACATGAGGAATATATGAACCATGTACCTGCCATCTGCAGCATTTTCCTGGGAAACTGCAAGGTTGTAAATCTTACACTGTCCCTGCACTCTCCCCTTCATGAAGCAATGCAAAACTATTAACTTACAGATGTTTATACTCCTTATACCTGGTTTATAAAACAGTTCTGCAAAATTGAGTTGCTTATACAGGTTATCTTGATTTTTTTTCAAAAAATAAAGTCTAGATGAAAAATTTAGACAAAAAAGCCATAGAAGAAATTCAGAGGAAATTTTATACTGTAGCTCTGAATACCATTTGCAGATGTTTGCTGAACAGAATCTCTTAAACTTGCATGACCATGATTTCATTTGATAAGACCAATTAAAAAGGATTATGCTGAAAGCCTTTTTGCATGTACAATATAAAATTAAATAACAGATTTCTGTAAAACTTACGCAGAAGAAACAAGACAGACACAGAACGAATCTAAGTCTGCTGGGTTTGTTACACGCTTTACAAATTACGCATTATGTTGGCTTTGGAACACCAGAGGCTGTTTGAAGAAAACATTTTTCTTACTTCCCCTCTACTTTCCCACTCTGTTTTAATGACAATGACTGGCTTCTTCATGTGAGAAAGAAAACATAAATAACCTCTGCAGAGAATTTCAGAGTTTCAATGAATTTCTTTGTTCAACGTGAAGAACAAACCATAACATTTAGGGGATCTTTTCATGCCCAGGGATCGTTACAAATACTGTTTTGTACTGGCATTGTGTCTCATGTTTAAGGATCTAAAAGTGCTCTGTACATAGTTTAGCCTTAAGCCCAGCTTCCCCCTCCTCTACTCTTCCAGTGACAGTATTGTATACTTATATAAAGTTTTATCAGTATGTAAGGATGACCAGATAAAAACTCCATGTCTCAAAGGAGCATTTCTATGGACTGGCTTTGGTCAAGTCCCAGGCCAGATCTGGAAGCCCACAGCAAGTTTGCATCCCTTTTACAGCAAATATTCAAGGGTTTCTGCAGTTCCCCACTGTACAGCCCATTCGTTCCCCATGTTTGGAGATGTACAGATGGTGCATAAAGCCTCTCTAAACTTCTTGCAGTTGTTCCTTGGTCAACTCACAATCCTGAGTTTAAAGTTCCCTTGCAAATGTTTACACATGGATTGCACTTGTGGCTTCTGAACATCACTAGAAAAATAATATTTATTACTTTCTAAGGTGCACTGTGCCATAATTTTGGCTTGGACTCGAGTGCTTCACAGAACACATAGTGTGTGGTGATTGTGGGACATTAAGTATTTATAAGCTTCACCACAAAAGGATATTCTCCTGTAAAACAGTATATTCCTTTAACCACTAAATGTTTTTGCTTCTTAAATGAGGTATTTTTTAAACCCGTTTTTCCTTTTCATATAAAAATTTTTAATCTAATTCTGAAATTTAAACCTGAGAATGAAATCGCCATGGGAGGAGCAGCCATCCATTTGCTATGTGGATTTGGCTGTTTAACTCCTATTTGTCTCCTGGAAAGAAAATTCTAACTCTGTGCTGCAGGTAGCATGAGTGGTGCTTGAACAGCCATTCATGGGTGTTGATAGTGATGTGAGTGCAGGAAATTTCCACACTCCTGCACTGACACGTGGAGGTGAGGGGGTCTCGAGTTCTGTTCTGTCAGGTGGCTCTGGGGTACAAAAAGCTCTCCCTGTTCATCAGTAGATGCTCTGCATGACCAGAAGTTACACCTCCAAACTGATAGACCTCAGAGCACTTTCCATTTGAAGGGTCCAGGTGCCTAGTTCAGCCTTGCCCTGATGCATGTCATGGAGAAATTTTGGGATGTGCCACAGAAACAGAGATGTGGATCCCATACCTGGAGGATGGAGGCTTTTGGGCTGTGCCACAGGTTAGGCACAGGCACTGAATAGTCTAAGTTAGTTGCAAAAGCCTTGTAAAGCCATCATTCCTCTGGAGGAAAAATCACTTTAAACCAGTAGTTACCATAATCTCAAAGCAGGTGTCTGCTAAATGTGTCACCAAATCCAGCAATGACTCGTCCCCTGGTTTATTTTCAGAAAGCCAGATTGCAAACAGTTACTTGAGCAGTCCCAGTAGAGTAACTGTTCCCCACTTCAGGGAGGGGGTTCACAATCTGGCTCAAATTAAAGCCATCTGGCAGCATTTTCTTATACACATTATGAGCCAGAAACCTTCACCCTCATCATGTTTAATCAGCAGGATGCCTAACAGAGAAGGGTCCTATTCCACGTGAGTAATGGTGCTAGAAGCTGTCCCCTACACAAGTGTGTGTCCGTGAGTTTTTCCGGTTGTAAATTTCTAACAGTCCCATCAGCCATGTGTAGCTCATTAATCTACAGTGAAATGTATCTTTAGAAGCTGCCAAAGCAACTAGAAAAAAATATATAGCCTGGAGAGGCTGGTCTTTAGCTAAAGGTCAGATAGAATTGTACAGGAAGCCTCTAAAGAAAGGAATCTGCTGAAGTTGAAGTTGTAACAAATAATATGAGTTGCTGAGAAGCCACAACGTTTACTTATACAGAAAAAAAAATCCTTTAAACAGACTGGACAGGTTTGCACAATTTTTGTAAAGCTAGAATTAAAAAATATGACCATACAGTTGAAAATGCACAGTAAACATTTCTGTTATATTTAGTTAACCCACAATTATTTGGGACTAATAGTCCAGATTTTTGTCTGTTAAGGGGTTTTATATGGATTTTGGACAAGCTTTCATTAACATTAGTCTGCTGGGTCTCAGCAACATGGAAGGTTCTTGCTGCAGTGCTATCTATTAGTGCCCTGGAAAATGGCAGCATTCTCTCAAGGGCATTTGGTGGTTTGTAAGTGAACTGAATTTACCTGTTCATGAGTGACCTGACAGAATCCTCTGCCAGGAGCAAAGCTCTGAGAACTCGGAAGTTGAAGTGGGAGAAACCAGACCTTTATTATAGGAAAGTATATTTACATTTTCAGTCTAATTAGTTACCTAATTCTATAGATTATAGTAGATGTAAGAATCTGGCATTAGTTCCCTAAACTCTGCTTTTTATGCTCTCCTTTGAGCACCACAGAGGGTGAGACCATATAACCCAGTTCTGTGCAATCCTGCAAGGGTTTCTTTGAGGGCTTTAGCTTTTCCTCTTTCAGAGCACTGCAGCCTTGGCTCAGATATAAACTAATCAGGTGTGGGCCCTCTGGTTTTGTTTCTTATAACTGTGACAGAATATGGCTTAGGAAATCAGTGGAGCCAATATACAAGCTGTGATGTGACAAACAGATTCCAATATAGATGTGACTTTTAGAAACATAACCTATACTCTATCTTCAGATAGATAGAGAGGGTTTGTTTGGACTATCCAAACAGAAGAGACAGAAGAAGGTTTCTGTATTATCAGAGGTATTTGGTGTTGAAAGCTGAAAATATGTGAATCATTTCACTATTTTAGAATAAGGCTTGGAGAGTACTGAGCTGTTTGCCGTCCTGAAGATAATTTTGCCTGAAAAGAAAACTGCCTGAGAAGAAAAGCAAGCTATAACAAAAATTTTTAAATGCAAACATAGTTTTTTTGAAACAAAACGCCGCCTATAACAGAGCAGTAGCTAATGCCAGGATCCCAGCCTTTAACCAGTACTAATTTGGTGAAGTCCGCAAAGGAGCAAATAACACACAGCCACTCTGCTGCCTGGAAGGAGCGTGTTCCCAGCCACAGGAAGCTGTGTCAAGGTAGCAAATTCCCCCCTCCACCAGAGACTCTCCTGGGAGCCAGCACTGCCCAGGACACAGCTCAGGTCCCCTGGCTGGCAGCCAGAGCCCCACTGTGGTTGCCAATTCCTGACATGACGAGCACAACACAACCCCAGAGACTTTAAGGTAATCTGGCCAGTGGAGCATTGCTCTACCAAAGGGTGGTCTCCGAATCAATCACAGCCTTTGGCAAGTCTGTGGCCCGACAATTGAAACCAGACATGTTTTCAGTTCATTCTTTGGGTTACTACTGTTCGATGGTGATTTACAAGAGAGTGTGAGCTATGGCAATCTCTCACGCAACTTTAGATATTCCCTAAACGAATGCACATTTAGAAATCTCCTTGCTCTAAAACAATGCCTCATAAGAAAAGAATATTTAAAGAGAAACCATCCTTAAAAATAGGCCAAGCTGCCTTTCTTCAGCGTTCAAAAATACTGAGGCACCACTTTGCAAAACACAGTGCAACTAACTCCAGCAGCAACAAAATCAGAAACCAAAATATGCTCTTCCTGTGTGATACTCTCAAGTCCGTGTTTCTGAGGGGCACTCAATTTTCTCATTTCTGTCCTAGTTTGCAATGATTTCAGAAGGCCTGTTCACAAGACAAACAGCACAGGGTTTCTCAGTAGCAGGCTGTATTGAATTACAAAATAAATAGGAGCAGAAGCAATATCAGCAGTAGCAGAATATTGCTATGTTAAATGTTTCTGTCTCATTTTAGACTACTTGTGTCTCAGCACTATTTTCAGCATTTACAGTTGTGAAATACTCTGGAGAAATAAAAAGGCATTATAGAGGTGCTGATGAAGTTTTAGTCTGTAAGTGTTGTTGCCTGGAGTGTACAACACGAGATGCTTCATACTGGACCTAATTTTATTTCCAGTCTTTCAAGAAAGATTTCTACATGTATTTGCAAATGTAGATTACTGAAAGTGTCAGAAGTGGTTCTAGAACTTGGCAGTCTCAACAGAACAGAAAAGTAGGGACTCTGTGGGTCTGGGTCAGAGAGCAAGTTCTATTTTAAATACAGGGCTGGTCTTGCTTCTCCTTTTAGCTCTATTTGAGAGTTTTATCAGCCATTTTAGAAAGCAAGAGAGACAGGAGCTGAACTGAGAGACAAACTTCACTCTGAAGGAGAATTTACACGTAGAAAAAAGATGAAGGATGTTCTGAAGTGCTCTAGCAAGTTAGCATTTTAGCTTTACTGTGCAAAAATAAGGAAACAGTGCAGTAGGTGCTCCATATAGAGGTTAAAGTCCAGTAATATTTACCACCCAAACAGCTCACTCAAACCAATTTAGTCATAAATTAAATTATGTCATGCATGCTTCTGGTGAACAATACTTCCTAAATAGTAGCCATGGTATTAAAGCAAACAGAACTATATTGGGAGAGGAAAACAATGAACTACAGCACAAGCTTGGGAACAGCAGATCAATTCTCAGATACTAGTTGCAAACCAAACCTTCCTGTAAGTATGGGTGGCTTGTGGAGTCTTTAACCACAGCCATCTCCTTCCTTTTTATGCCCCATTATTCAGGCTTGATGGAGGTCTCTACCCTGATGGCCACACAGGTTTGGACTCCCCCCCCGGCCCTTTCCAGCAGAATTGCTTTTTTATGGCACAATAGAAAAAGTTTAGCCAAAATCCTTGCACTAGTCTTTGATCTTAGTAGGTCAGTATTGATCAGAACCTGTCTGGGCTTGGCATCTCTTCACATCCATAAAGGCAGCAGTAATGCTTTGGCAAGTAACCTGTACCAAAAATAAACCCTGAAAACCAAAGTGAAAGCACATGTTCTCTTCACTGTACCTTTAATCCAGTATTATCTACAGTCACAGTGAGCCTGCATTATTGAGAAAAAAAAAATTGGGTGGTGTTTTTTGTGGTTTAGCGGTTGTTTTTTCTTCAAGCAAAGGTCCATCTGCACAGTTCCATAATTGATGTAGCTTTGGCCTGCAGCAGCCACACACAAGGCCCTGTGCCAGCAGGTGCTGGCTGACAGCTGCCTGCAGGGCACTGGGGACCCTCCAGGTGTTCTCCTGCCTCTGTTCTACTGCTATTTGAAAACTTCAGATTAATGCCCTAATGCTGTCACTGCCCACCCTTGCACTTCTGCCTTGCTTCTGCAAAGTAAGAGGAGAGACTGAGCCTGTCCAGTGGTACAGCAAATAACCAGAGCATGTGCATGAAGCTGTCAAAATGAAAAAAGATGTGTACGTTGCATTTTGATAACCTCTAAACGTTATTTTTTATTAGGGATTTTAAAGAAGATGTGTGTGAACTTTTGCAGAAGACTTTCAGCCTAGAGAGTTCTCATATAAAGGATAAATTGCTGAAAAAACACAATCCTATTATGTTTTTGTATGTTGCTTTTGTAATGAATAATAATGCTGTTTTCTTTTTGTACAGTTTCCACCTTTAAGTTATACCAGCGTGCAAAGCATGTGTACAGTGAGGCTGCCAGAGTGCTGGAATTTCAGAAGATTTGCAGTGAAGCACCTGTCAATGCTCTCCAGCTGCTGGGAGAATTAATGAAGCAGAGCCATATCAGCTGCAGGGAGATGTATGAGTGCAGCTGTCCTGAGCTGGATCGCCTGGTCGACATCTGCCTGTAAGTTCTGACCACAAGGAAGAGTAATCGTCTGTGGAGAATACGGTTCGAATTGAGGAGAAAATATGACATCCTTGCCTATTGCAGTCTTAAAATGAAAGTATTCTTGTCTCTTCTTACAAAATTAATCTCCTGCAGGGGCATTACATGGTCAATTGTTTCCCTGCTGACATCTGTGTAATACTTTCAGATGAAAGCTACGGTTTATGACTTTATTACAGATTTTGCTTTTGGACTGACTCATCGTCACAAGTGTTACGTTAGACTGTCGGCTACTCTTTTTTAAGTAAGTTGCAGAAGAAGTCATAAGTGGTTTTCTTAAAATATCATCTTACTTGTTCTATCTGAACTGTTACTTTTTCTCTATTTCTTAGAATTATAACATCATAGAATGATTTGGGTTGGAAGGGATCTTAAAGATCATCATGTTCCAAAGCTCTGCCATGGGCAGGGACACCTCACACCAGACCAGGTTGCTCAGAGCCCCATCCAAACTGGCCTTGAACACTTCCAGGGATGGGGCATCCACAGTATCTCTGGGCAACCTATTCCAATGTGTGTGCCTCACAACTCTCATAGAAAGGTATTTCTTTCCAATATCTAATCTAAATCTACATTTTTCATGTTTCTTAACCATTTCAGTACTGCTGCCACAGGAGTTCCAGGGCATAAACAAGCTGTTCTACAATTTTAGGTTGTCTTGGAATTATAATGAAATGTAGTGATATGCCATTTGCATTTTTTCAATTAAAAATAAGTTGTCCAGAGTATCAGATAGGTTGGACAGCATTTCACTGTTTAAGAAATGAGCGTGCCAGCTGTTACAGGAGCTGATACTCTACTTCTTTCTGTGCTGTCTGAGCTCTCCACATATAATTAAGACTCCATCTCAGCCCCAGCATTATTCTTTCAGCAGTGATTCCTTCCTAACTCAGTTTGGTCGTGAGGAAACAATTCCAAAGGCACATTCCTTGAGTGCCATTTTGTCCCTTCTCTTCTCCCACACACAGGTTGTTGTGGTATCAGGCTTGTTGTTTCCATGACTCAGCTGCAGGGGACAGTGAGATCTGGTACAATCGTGTGTCAACCCACAAAGTAAAAACAAGCACTTAGTACTCACATCCTGCATAGCATTTCACCCTTCCCACAGGATCAGCATCTAACAATGTACACATTTCAGTCCTGCTTTATTTCTATTTTTCTGGTATATTTAATCACAGACAGACACCTGGTGCTAACTGTAATCTAAATTCAGTGCCTGTAGAAGAAATTTAGTGGATCATTTTAACAGTGGCTGGGGGAAATAAACAGTTGCCCACCTGGGCTGTCCCACTTCTACTGCATCCCTGCCCCAGCCATCCTGTCCCAGCTGCTTCCCACAGTCTCATAGTGGCTCCCTGGTGATGCCACCCTCCTGACTTGTGCTCCTAATTGTTCCTTCTCCTTGGAGAAGGGTGTGCTTAATTTGGGAAACTGCCCTAAGCCAGAGCATTACTGCCGTGCCAGAATGGAAATGTGGGGTGACACAAGTGTTTGTAGGCCTGAGGTCAAGAAATTTTGTTTCACTGTCTTTTTGAAGCAGGTATCCCATCCTCTCTCTACATCTTTTAAGTCTTGAAGAAAACAAACTATTTCAATTTGGTGTTTTAAAAATTAGATTATTAATATCTTACCACCTTTACCAGCTTGGTTTTTTTTATTATTATTGAGAAATTAGTCTGACTTAGAATGAAAATACGAATTTTGAAAGCATGCAATTTACCATATGCTTTTTTTTTCTGCACTTACGGATTTTTTAAGTTGCAGTACCCATTTATCAGGTTTGTAAATCAATAGAGTACAGAAGATGATTATTTAGGTGAGTATGATTTCTTTTGCAGACAAGATGGAATGGCCTCTGAGGCAGAAAGCTACAAACCTAAAAACTGAACAGAAGACTTCTGGACATTGACAGATTATTTTGCATGTGGGATACATGTGCTATTTTGTGCTAAAACACAAAGCAGCCTGATAGCCACTGGACAGACTGATAGCAACTGAGAAGAACAAGTTTTGATTTGTCTCTTGGGACCTAGTCCAGGGTGGAACTCCCAGCTTTATTCAGTTTATTGTATCACATCATACAATAAGCTGTGACAGTCACTCAGCAGGGCAGTTCCACCAGAGTTATCCCAGCTGCTCAAAGGGAACCACTGCTCCATGTGTGACAGGGGATCACTATCTCCAGGGTCAGCTGAAGACAGAAACTGAACTCTACTGAATTATCAAAGATCTTGGGCAACAAAGTCTTGATCCCATGCAAGGCATCAGCACTGCCTGTTCTGAGGCACCACTGGCAGGGCCAGAGCCTTAAATTAACATCTGCATTGCTTTAGGTACAGTGACTGCCCAGGGCTGGTGCCTCAACCAGTGGCAGCCAATGACTGCACTTGGCAGACCTGAGGACCCCATTCTGACAGGGCGTGTTCTCTGAAAAGCTGTGAGGAAACTGTCCTGCCCTGAGCAGGGGAAGACAAGCAGGTTAAACCTGGCCAGATGTTCTGTGCAGCATGGAGTTTCCTGTGCCACATTCCAATAAACCAGCAAGGATGGCAGTGACAGCCTCTTGCCGCAGGAAGCTCAGCACAGGAATGGAAATTGTGATCCCCATTTGTGCTAAGCTCTGTGCTTCCATGGTGACACAGCTCCAGCCAGCTCAGGCAGGGGGACACTGGCTGCCAAGCAGGAGCACAGCCAGAGCACCAAAAAGAAAGCAGCAGTTAGGATTTTTCTAAGTTAATTTAAAATTCATGGGAGCATTTCAGTTCCAGGGAACAATATATAAGTAGTAAAGGAAAAAAGTGATGTGTGTGCCCACGTTACATCAGATTTCTGATTTACTGGCAGAAGAACCCACAGCATATGATGGGCAGAGCTAAGCACCACATGGAATGATTTCAAATTTATATATTAAAATTATTTCACTTGGAGGTTTTTTTATTGTATTCTTTGCACAAAAAAAGTAAATGTTCATTGTTCTTTGCCGTCTTGTCCCATCAACAATATTTCCTAAGAAATGCATCTTTCTTCTCTAGGAGTTCAGTATTAAATCTTATTCTGATTCAGTAATTAGATTTCAAAAAGTGTATAGCTATTCTGGATGAATGCACCTTAAGCCAGTATCTAATTTTTGGGGAAAAAGTCTTAACTTTTCTTAAATTGTACATTAAAAAACCTAAAGGACATAAAATCAGTAGTCACTCTAGGAAGACTTGGCTGATGTGATTCTAGAAATGGCCAGGAATGACACAAATGACATTCTTTATTTACGATGATGTACAGCCACCCTGTAACTTTCAAAAGCTTTTCCAAAAATATATTGCACAGAATTCCCAGAGTCTACTGCTGCTCTCTCCTGACAAGGTTTAAACTGTGAAGAATAATCTGCATATACAGATGTTTTCTCTTTTGCCTAGATCTTTATGTTTTACTGTATAACCTCTGCCAAGAAAGAAAGGGATCCATACTTGCTGTGGTTTGTAGTGCTGAAAACTGTAACCATGAGTTGGTCAGTTGGTTTTTTTTCATTTTTCAAAGATTGAGGACTTTTGCTTTCTCTAACCCACCTCATGCTGTTAGTAGCTGGTTGACCTGTTAAAGCAGGTAACACAGCAGATTTACTAAACAATAAAGGGACAAAAAATTGGATGTGAGCTCCTGAGTAAGTTAAGTACTCTTGAAAAGCTGTCATTCCTTAGTGTTGCACATGACTTACTTTCATTTTCTTATTCTCCATCTTTTGGTGCTATAAATCCTGGTAATTTTTGTGCTCCCAGACATGCCTCTTACATGACAGAGAGCTGAATCCTCTCTGACCACTTTTAAAAGAAAACAGATTTTATATTACATCCAGGTGCATTATGGTAGCCAACACAATTCTGCATTTTATCAAGATTCTTACCATTTCCACTTATGATTTTCTTAAAACTGTAGAGCCTGCAATCATGGCATAATTTGAAATTTCAACAAAGCCAGAAACACTTAAAGATGCTATTCAAATGCAAACTAAACTACACAGCAGAATAAGCACAATCCTCCCCATTTATATATTTAAGTCTTACCATGTTAACTCCATGCTCTCTAAAAGCTACTTCATAATTTTAAGTATTTCAAATTAACAATATTGCTCTGGGGTTTTTTCACCTCTTAAAAGTACAGCTATTTTTAAAATAGACTACTGCCATGTCTTGCCTACTGTTTCCATATACCAAACCTATGGAATTTCCATTTTTACTCCCTCCTTTTATTATCCTTCCTTCCTTTGCTGCAGTACTCGTATTTTTACTCTCATTTACATCCCCATAAGCTAGTTGTCTTTGTGTCCAGTGAAGACTGGAAAACGATGCACAAACACTTGCAGCAGCAAAAGCCAGAACCTGGGATTGGGACTGAGTGGCCCCAGCCCTGGGCTCCAGACACATTTTCCTTCTCCTTGTCCCTGCAGCACAGCCCAGCAGCACACAGGGCCTTTCCCACACATGAAACCCACACCTCCCACTGCGTGGGTGAGCTCCCCATCCACAGGACTGTCTGCTCAGACTCCTCTTCCAAAACCCATCTAGATGCCAGTGCACAAGAGGAGTGTCTGGCCAGGAATCCCACTTTACCAGAGGGGTCCAGCTTAGTACTGAACTGATTAAAACTTCAATGGGGCAGTTTCAAACCTGTTCCAAAGATGAGTTCCTTGTGTTTGATCTAGATACCTCCCAGGCACCACATCTCCTGCAGACACAGAATTAGGAGCTCCCTCCTGGATCCATGTAGTATCAGGTACCCAGATTGTGCAGCACTGCCCATCAGGTTCCTCAGTAGCCCCAAGTGGCTGCTATCACCACATTTGACACTGTTAAGCCATGGTATTTTGAAACACAGTGACTTCAGCTCTGCAACAGGCATATTTTCTGTCTACTTTATGCTTTATTTCAACTAAGTATTCGAAAATGACTCAGTAAAAATGAGGCATGAGCATGACCACAGAGAATTATGAAATCAATAAAAGGTTCAGAACAATTCTGAAGGGATTTCAGTTGCCTACCAAAATAAAAGCCAGACACCATCTGAAATATGAAGTTCTGTCTGAGGTAACAGACCAAATGAGTACAGACAGTTGATTTAACAGACTCTGAAAAGTGGATTGGGCCTTATAAAGTCAATGGGAATTTCCTTATTGACTGCAACTGAGACTGGATTAGATCCTGCTCATTTTAGGAGGTTGCTCCATGTACTAGAAACTACCAAAATTGCATCAGAGAATGAGTGGCTTACAGGAATAACAATAAGTAAAATAAAACACCAACAGGAAATGCAGAATGAACATAAAATCGAGTCAATATGAAGGGTGGCACCACACAGAGACACTGAAGAAAGTGTTTCTGTTCAAGAAGAGATCTGTGTTTAGAATCAAACACATATGCAAGTACTTGCTTGAAATATGACCTAAACCTATACTAACCCAGCACTACACCAGATTGATTTAACATAAAATGCACACATGTAAAATTACAACAGCCCACTTCCAATGAGCTGTCATTTTCCAATGCTATTCACATGATGTTGTCTCTCCCTCTAACATATTCTAGGGCTGGTGAATCTCTCTGTGCATGACTATTGGAAACACATCAGAAGTATTTGTTTGTAAGTCAGATTAGATCTCCCCCAAGAATAAGGTTTCAGATGAGTTTTCTAAATCTTACTCATTCTGTTCTCATTAGGTTAGAAAAGCCTCAAAGTAACTTTTTATATGGTACTTTCCTACTTTTTCTAAGTTCAGGAACACAGGTAAGCAAAATTCTAAGTTCTAATGAGGTGGTATCTGAGTCTTGCAGTGTAACAGCATGGGATTTGCTCTAGGACATTTCTAGTAGGCCAGTATCTTGAGGCTAGGAATGGTTTATATTTTGCATCTCATTTATTTGTCATTGTTCTTTCTGTTCACACTCCTCATTGAGAGCTTTTTTTTTTCTTTAGGGACTACATTCATACACTACCTCTACTGCTGTCAGTCTAAAGTTCATGAGGTTCCTCTAAAGAGAGACACCCAACTCTGTCCATTCAGCATAAACAGTAGTTTATATGAGCTTATTTATACAGAGTGCAGTGACTCTATGACTTTTTGAGAGTCTCTGAACTCTCCTTCTCTTGACTGGCACACTCAGCAGTCCTGCAGAAGCCTGTGAATCTTCAGCATGGTTTAGAGCTGTCCTGGAAGAATAGAGCTATTTGTCTTTGCCACATTAGAAAATGGCTTGCATGCCTACATCCTGTGCAATTAGTTTATGAACCCTCTTTTGTTATTTTTGTCATGTATTTCTGTTTTCACTTCTGATGTCTTATGAATGTTGCTAACACAATTCCTTTCTTCTCCTGCTTTCTTCATCTCAGCTGCACTGTGATCCTAAAAACAGCTGATGCTGAAGCATTACAAAACAGGGGGACTTTTGGAACTGATAGAAATGACTTTACTGCAGTTTAGTCAGCACTTTCCTTTGGTCCAAAAGGGTAACTGCAAATTGCTGTAGTGTTACATACAAGCAAGTGAACATCAGAAAAGTCTGATGACATGGGAATACTCAAAAGACATCTGAGTTTTCTATTAAAATTTTATATATGACAAAGTACCTCTTTTTGGTTTATTTTAAATTCTTTTTTCCCCCTCTTATTTTCTTTTAGGCAATTTGGGGCCATTGGGTCACGTCTGACTGGAGCTGGATGGGGTGGCTGCACTGTGTCAATGGTGCCTACTGACAAGCTGAACACTTTCCTAAAAAATGTAAAAAAGGCTTATTACCAAACGGATGGCCAAAGGTTAGCAGTGGAGAATAATAATCTGTTTGCTACCAAACCTGGAAGAGGAGCTTTGGTTTTTGTTGAGGCCTAAAGAACATAAAAATTTTAAAGAAACTATGTAGAGCATGTAGAAGTGGCAGTACTTCCCATGCCACAGTACATGAATGATTTTTCTGATTTGTATTGTAATGAGCAGTCGCTATTATCAAAATGGATTTCTGAAGAAGCAATTAGAAGTAAACTCTTTGATTATAAAAGTCTTTCCCCCTCCATATTAAATGTATCTTTCAGTATAAATACTGATTTACTAAAACCTATTGACAGGGAAAAGGGAAATTGAAATAAAGATGATGATTTGTTACAGTGTCTGTCTCTTCTTTTCCCTTTGCTGTAATAAAAGAGAGACCAGGTGAGCAGTGAGCTGCCTCAGTGGAAGGAGGGGACCTTGCAGTATTTGCAGGGCTGTTCAGTGCTTTTTCTTTTCAGGTCCTGGACATTGTTTTGTTTGGAGTATTTTGTAAAACATGAAGATTAAACTGAAGCATTCAAAAGATTGGAAGGACCTTGCTAAATATACAAAGTTTTCTACTCTCCACAAGTAGGATATTTACTCAGCTGTACTAAGCAAAAGTAAGCTCTAGGTAGGACCAAGGGAAAATGTCATTGACATTACTGACAAATTCTGACCTTGCCACCACTGTCTGCTCCTTCCATCTCCTATAACTGCTCTGAGCAGGAGAAATGGTTGTGATTGTAGAAAGGGGACTGTACATCAGGATCCCCCAAAGATGTCCTAACCCTGCTCCCAAGGGGAAAGTCAGACTCCTGTGGCCTCTCTCTTGCACAAACTTCCACTTCTCTGCTCTCTCCAAAGAAAACCAAAGAGAAGATTTGGTCGTGTCACAGCACTTGCAGCCATAAAAGACACAGCAAGAGTTGGCCCTGGGCACGTTTTTGTGATGCTAAGAACAAGTTAATGTCCAGAAGTCTGTATCAAATTAGAGATCTCTCAGATTTTCTGTACATTACCCATGCTAATTCAGGCCAAACCCAAATTCTCAGAGGCTCCTAATTCTCTGAGAAGACTGCCAAATCTGAGCACAGCAG